ACACACACACACACACAAAACACACACATGAACAATTTCTCCAACACATACCTGTTTTGAAGACCTATTTGGCAATACTGGAGTGCCTTCCAGGATTTCAATGACATATAAATGGCACTGGTTCCGAAGCCACATTTTTCCATTTACATCCATTAAGTACTGTAGAATTAGGAGTTTGAACAGAAACTCCCAAATTCCAGATTGGACCTAAAGAGAGAATCACAAGGATTTAAAAAATATTTACATAAACTGTAGACCAGGTCTCCTAACCCAGTGGATCTTCATCTTTTGTTCTCTGGTAGAATGACACTGAAGTTCGCGGTACATAGAAAAGGGAACCGCTATACCCTCTGCCTTCCCTAACTAGGCCTCTGGCTTCGGGAGGAGGCAGATGGGGATACAGGGCTGTGTCCTCCCTGACTCTGTCCCTTGGTTGAAATCCAAGGCACTTACGGAGGAGGTCACATCGATGTGGAAAATGGTGGGGCACTTCTGGCACTGTGCATCTAAGAAAGGCAGGAGGGCATCCAGGACCTGGCCTTCATCCACTTGGGGCTCCATCAGTCGGATGATCTTGAGAGGCACTTTTGTCCCATCAAACTGCATTTCCAATTTTCTATGCAGAGTTTTCACATAAAGAGATTTTCCTGTAATGGTGACATGTAGAAATTAGGACCATAGCTATGGACAGATTGAGAGCGTCTAGATTAGAATGAGTAACAATTACTTCTCTCTGCGCCAAATTCAAGATGGTATATTGAACTTTTTGAGTAACACTCAAAAATTATTACTACAAAATCAGAGAAATCTTTACTAAAGAAAACTGTCAAACTGTGAAGCTATAGTTTCTTGACAGTGCCCCCAAACTTAGTCTCCACGTACTTTTGAAGACAGTGTCTCCCCTCTCCATCCCTCCCCAGAAGAACATGGCTCTCTAGTTGATGCCGGGTCAGGACCGCAGTTTGGGCATTCTTGGGGATTTAAAGTGTGTCCCTTTGCAATGTTCTTTGAGTTTGGAGAACAAAATCAGGTCTGAAGAGTGTGCGGGTTTAGGTTCCTCAACACATTCTCACAGAGGAGCCCTTGCTGCCCTTGAAGAATGAGCAGCTCCACTGTCATGATGGGAGAAATCCTTGGCACGATTTTCTTGACTTTCCCACTGATGTACTTTTTAATTTTTGTAAACCTTCCTAATAAACGTCCACGAACGACCTGTGTCCATAAAGAAAATGGATCAAGATTACCCCCTATGGAATTCCAAAAGAGGCGTTGCTGTCATCTTTGAATTTGACCTGTCTGCCGGGAATTAGACAGGCCCAGCAGACACCCTCAGAAGCCGGGACTTTGATTGCACCTTTGTTGGAATGGAAACTAAGACAGGTGTATTTCTAAGACAGATCCTTGTCTGCAGCCACCCACATATTTATACACTGAAAAAAAGACGCTTGCATATGTTGGAACTGGAACCCTAAAAAAATGCCTTTTTACTTATCCTCAAACAGAAAACAGTAATCCTCAAGCCATTGCTTACTCACTGACTTTGTTCTCTGTCTGTCACTAATGACAGCAATCTAAATGTAAAATTCTCAAATAAATTGTTATCGAGTAGATTTTGACTTGAAGCCACCCTGTAGGACAGAGTGGAAATGTCCCATTAGATTTCCAGGGCTATCAGTTTTACAGCAAAGATCCCTACATCTTTCTCCCATGAATTGGGTGGTGGGTTACAAACTCTGACCTTGATGTATCTTAACAACACATACAGTATCGGGATGAGTTGGGTGCGATTGCAATTGTTCTAAAAGGATGTTGTATTGGTATTGAGAGAAGGACAGTATGAAGGGAAATGTGTCCTTCTTTTGAAATCTTTGTGTGTTCCCAGTCTTGTGGCCTTTCTCAGAAGCAGAGTACAAGGTTAGGAGAACTAGACAGATGCTAAGGGGCATTCAGAGGCTCAGCTCCTTCTCCAGCAGAGCCAAGACACCTGCCCTACCCTCAGACCACCAACCCCGGGGCCCGAGGGAGTTTACAACTAAAGGGTTAACTGCCAAGCTGCCTGCCTACAGAGATGTCGGGTGCTCACAGGAATTGCCCCATACCGGGACCCAGGTGAGCCATGGTGAGCCTTGCACGGGCTTCGATTGACAACTCACTGCCACTCACTGCCTCGTGGTGACCCCTGTGGATTCTGAGACTGCAACTGTTTACGTGAGTAGAAAGCCCAGTCTTTCTCCTACAGAGCTGTTGGTGGTTTTGAACCA